GGGTATATATATATATCGTCACAAATAGAACTGCCCGGTAAACCGTAGGCAGAGAGAGAGAAGAGGACAACAAACGAGGGGCTGTGACAAACTGTTTCGTCGGAGTTTCACCGACTCATATATATATTAAAAAAAACAAAAAAAAACTGAGCACAGCATGGGAACACGTGCATACATGACAAGCAGAAATGGTCGAGATAGATTGCCCGAGTGCAGTGCACAGAAATTATCCAGTTTCCCCTTCTGTAAATAACTGGTAATGGTTACCCTAGCCTGCACAGAGTGCGGCCTGTAACTTGATGACAGCAACGCTTTTCAGAACACCAAATCCCCCCCCCGTCCACCTTGGGTCATCAGGGAACTGCTCAGGAGATGAATGCTATGTTTAATGCATACATTGCAGATTACATACCCAAGCAAAAAGCTCTTCTGGTACTGGTCCGCTCAAGGTTTGTATTCCAAACTTGCAGGCACTTGCGAATTCCAAGGTTTCTCTCACGGTCAAGAAAGGGATATGGACATCTGCAGGAGGACATAAACCCAGTTACACACAACATGGTTAGTTATACGCTAGTACTTTTTGTTACTTGCCGCAAATTCCACATGTTATACGCTAGTATCATCCTCTGCTTGCCTTATCTGCTCAGACTGTGAGGCCATACTCTCAAACTCTCAGGCTTTCTCAACGTTGCTCGGAACATAGTTGCCGTCAGGTGCATCCCGGCTCCGATGTAATTGCAGTCAGGTAAATCCACAATAGTCCTCGTATGAGTATGCCCGACAGGCTTCCTCATCCTCAAACCGTCAGAGGCACATTGCGAACTTCACAATTTCTCAGAGATCCCAGGATACTCAGAATTTCTGAGGATGTTTGGGACATCAGACCACTTTGCCGTTTCTCAGGGAATTGTTGTATGTGTCTTTCTTGCCTTCATTGTCAAATTGCAGAAAAACTTTCCGTTTTTCTGTTTTCTTTTTAAAAAAAGGAAGAAAAACAACAACAACAACAATAACATAGCAAGAAGGCAGTGTGAGGGACAAAGTAAAGTTGAGCGAACAAAGTTCAAACTTCAAAGAGACCAAAAGCTTGGGCACTGTTGCACAGTCCACTTTTAAAATGTTTTCTGAAGCTTAATTTGCCTTCCCCGCCCCCCCCTCCCCGCCCTCCCTCCCTGCCTCCCTCCGGGCTGAAACAAAATTTAACAAATCCTTCCTTTCGCACTCACAGAAGGCAAACAGTTCAAATAGGTGAGACCAACAGCTTCGGCACTGTTGCACAGCCACTTTTAAAAGGTTTTCTGAAGTTTAATTTGCATTCCCCCTCCCCCCCCCGCCCTCCCTCCGGGCTGAAACAAAATTTAACAAATCCTTCCTTTCGCACTCACAGAAGGCAAACAGTTCAAATAGGTGAGGCAGAAGGAAGGATTTGTTTTCGGAACACAAATAAGAAGGGCCCACTTGGCAGTATAATCTGGCCCACTTGGCAGTATAATAGCGTCCATTTGGAAGCATAATAGGGCCCACTTGGGCCCATATTATTAATATGGGGCTCTTGGTCCCAGAATAGGGCCCACTGGGTCCCAGAGGAGTAGGCTCAGATTGTCCCAGAATAATGGGGCCCACTCCGTGTACCAAAGCATTTGGAGTGTTTCTATAAAACTCTTCGCCTTGAAGGAGAATAAGTTCTGTTGGGCTCGTCTGACTATAATCTTGCTTATACCACCTCTTTTTATATTACTGCATTGCTAAGCCTACACAGCAATAATTTAACGAAGCAAGGACGACAGGTAGTCCGTCTTTCCCTTCCTTTTTGGTTGCCAAATACCTTACTCTGAAATTGAACAGTGTTTGGGATACAGACAAAGTCGCACCCACCCGTCCCTCCTTTTCTTTCGCCCCAAACTGCGTCCTGATTCTTGCTTCTTGCTTCTTGCTTCTTGATTGCATCATTCATTCCCTCCTCMCCCCCTTCCCCCCCCCCGCCCCCAAAGTGCTTTCTGATCCTTGCTTCTTGCTTGTATCACCCTTTAATACAGTCCCCCCTGAAGACTAACTACGGGAGTATAATGACATTTTGTACTTCCTTTATGGTCGAGCCTGCGCGGAATCGAACAGGCCGTCTCCGGCTTGAAAGCCGAATGCCTTAACCACTGCAACCAAGACACGGTGTCCACAAGTGGAACCTACTACCCCACACCAGCACGGTTGCAGCACAAAGAGATGCTGTCCACACAACATCATTTGGGACCCTCTTACAGGACATGTGGCCCTTTGCACCACCTGGTCGTATCCTTTTCCCTTTTTCCTCCCCCCCGCCGCCCCCGGCTATCATGAAAAATTATTAGTATCAGCATCAGAGCAGTGAGGTGCGGAGGGTTGCGGACAGATATCTTGTCTGACGCCATGGACACTTCACATACATACACTGTGATGAGAGGTGTCATGCCCCTCGCACAAGGTGGCCGTCACTTTTGCGGGTACCTTAATGTTTCCAAATTACTGATTGATTGGTTATCTGTGTGGTCATTTCCAAATTGATTGATCTATTATCTATGTGCTCTCCTGCGTTTCCACTACCTTTCCAAGCAGTTGGTGCTGTTGATGCAGTCTCACAAGTATGACAATGAAGACTAAGCGCATACTCAGAGCTGTACTTTGCTGGATGGACTCGACTGCAATTAACGGCCATATTCAGTCAAGAAAGTCCTAGTGTGAGTACATGATTTAACAAGGGTTTGACATCATCAACCTCGACGGCTGAACGGAATGGACATCATTTAGATGGAGTCGAAGCGTAAGAAGGCAAAGGAACATTTGTGTAATTTGTGCTCCCTTTATGTTTTCACGATGTCAGAATGTTTGCCACTCATCCGATTGAAGATGCATCCTTGAAAACATGGCACGAAGACTCATGAAGATTTGATTATCCGTGATCCTCTCAAATTCACTCCCGAGTCCCGACAGGTCAATCATCTGAATTATCATCATTGAAAAAACAATTTATAGAAGTATGGAGGACCAAACAAAGCAAGAGGAGAGATCTGAGCATCTCTGCATTGCCTCCATTATAAATGGCATGAAAAAAAGGAAAAAACACAAACTTGGGTGAGCGGGCAACTGTTGCAGTGGAATTTTGATCCATCATACGATTGTTTATGATGGTCTTTCTATTGATCTTAATTTTTAACTATCGGTTTTGTCCATGGATGGAAGTAGGGCGCTGATCCAGCTGCCTAGCTCTGTTGGTAAGGCACGCTAGTGGCATTCAGGAGGTCTTCGGTTCAATCCCCATTAGCCTCATGGACCTTCCTGGGCCAGCTTGGCGCCCGCCACCTAGAGATAGGCCGTTGGTCCCCACAAGCGGCATTGAGTAGAGACTGCTGATGTTCGGAGGGGGAGGGGACTGGAGGGGAGGCACAGCGATTGGCCCATCGAAGAAGCTACAGGCTGACCCCTGGGTGGTATCGCCCACCTGCTGAAGCAGGTATTGCACCTGCTGGTGGGTGCAGCTCCCGCATGTTCCCTGGTTGAACACGGTTGTGGCTGCTACAGGGTTCCCCGTAATACTATAATCATAGTATAATGATAATAAAAAAGGCCTGGAAAGGCCATCCTGTCCAGATTTGACAGGAAATTGAATTGGTTGGGCTAAAACGAATTAGCCTTTTTTCTGAAAAAAAAAGAAGAAGTGCGCTTTACGTTGGGAATATTGGGAATCGCGATTATGCCCTGGTAGAAGCCATTATGTGACAGCACAGCAAGTCCTGGTGGTCCCCGGGAGGTGCTGGCTGATGGCTTCTCAGCTACTCAGAAAAAAAAAACAGACTTCCCAGACTCTCAAGGGATGCGCCCAATCGGAGGAAGAGGGCCAGGCGGCCAAGTATATTCAGGCGCCCTGCAGCTGGGCGAAGAGGCTTCCTCCCTCCCCAACCCTTTCCTCACAAATCTACATCCTGCTCAGTTAATCCCCTGGGTGCCAGGGCAATCAATGCGGGCAGGCAGACATTTGGCAAATTTCTTTTGATGTATATAATGGGACGCTGGACCCAGTTTCCAGCACGTGAGGCTCCCCACCAACAGATCGGAGCATTAACCCCAAAAAAAAAAAAANAAAAAAAAAAAAAAAAAAAAAAAAAAAAAAAAAAACCGATGTGGGCATCTGCATTCTCATTACAATTAACTATTATACAAGCTTTCCAGCCCGGGCGCCCGGGCCACCCCAGGTCGCCCGGAAGGACGCTCGGGGCGCCTGGCCGTGCGACCCCCCCGGCCAGGCACCCGGGCCCCCACAGCGCCGCCCCCCAAATCACTTCAAAAAACAAATTTGCGCCAAGAAAGGAGGTGGCAGCAAAATTTTCTGGGACAGGTAGGCTCCATTCCATAGGTTTCTTTTTTTGGGGGCGCCTGGGCCGTCTGCAATGAACCCAGTCAGGAGGAAAGCTCAACAATGTCGAAGTACAGAATGTCTCAGCGCAGTTTCAATGTCTCCAATCATACATGTAATCAAGAGTCCAATGTCAAGTAACCAGAGAAGAGAGTGATGAGAGGGAGATTACACTGAGAGGGTGGAAGAGAAAGTAACCATCAGCTTCAGCACATAGATCTCCCTCATTGGCCCACTCCCCCTTCAGGCATCTCCCACTTGCCACGTCAGCAGACAGTTTCCTCTGACACACACTGAAATCGAGCAGATCTCAACATGGCGCACACGGCACAGACTCCTTCTGAAGACAACAGCAGAGCGCAATGTCGACACGGTCATGAACAGGTAAGCTCTCCCATCCACAATTGACCAATCTCACAGCCCCGATCCTCCTCCTCCTCGCCAATATCCCATCAATGTCGTAGACAGCGTGGCGAGAGCCACGTCAGCATAATAAAAAAGAGAGCTGGCACCGAAGACTGAAGATAGTGCCAGCGCAGTAGCAGTCTCGCGTCGTCGTTCAATACCAAGCCAGCGTCCAGCCAGTGTCCAGCCGGCATCGAGCCAGCGTCTAGCCAGCATCGAGCAGCAAATGCAGGACTGAGTGTCGGTCAGCAGGGGCTGGGTCAACATATAGTGTTGACTCCGGTTGACCAGCCTCTGGTCTCTCGGATATGATGGCCCAGATTGACCCGCAGTCAATGGCCTGGATCTCATACAGTTGCAGATTCCCACTTGGACTGGATTCTTGACAGATACCTGCAAACAGCCAAATGTGTGAGTCTGATCGGTGGCCTGGGCTGGGTCCATGTTGACTTTGACTCGTGAGCCTGAATTTCCGAGCTGTCGTTGACCTTTACGTTCCACGGTCAACTGTCGCACGTAGGGCCTCTGAAGTCCAGTTTCTAGGCCATGCTTCGGGTACCCACAGCAGCAGGCCTTGTTTCAGGCAATTTCCATGACTCGGGTGTGGCCGTTGGGCCCATATTTGGCCCTTAGTCTGAAATGACGACCTATGGCTCACGACAATTGCATGATACGAGCTGAGTTATTGCAAGTCGATCTGCGTTGATCTACGGCACGGAAGTCCCAAGATTTTGAATTCAAATCTTGAGACTCTACGCGCGGTCCTGTGCCTTCCGCCCTCTCACCCGCGCCAGGTCATTGTTTCCTTGCCGTGGTCTACCGCACCGTTGTCACCCTGCCGTGGTCGTCCACGCCATCGTCATCATTGCCCTGCCGAGTCATCATCGTCGTCACCCTGCCACCCTCAGGCCGTGCCGTCATCATCGCCGTCCAGCCGCGCCATCACCCACTCAGGTAAGGTTTTCTTTTTTCCTTCCTTTTGTTCTTCTCTTCTTCTCTTCTTTTCTTCTTCTTCTTCTTCTTCTTCTTCTTCTTCTTCTTCTTCATTTCTTGTTGTTCTCTCCTACGTCTTCATTTCTTCTTCTTTGTTTCGTCTCATTCTTCTTCCTCTTCTTCTTCTACTCCATTTCGTCGTGTTCTTTTCTTTCTTCGTCGTTTCTTTGTCTTCTTCTTGTTCTTCTTTGCCGTTTCTTCTTCTTCTATGTCTTCTTATTCTTCACTGTTTCTTCGTTCCCTTCTTCTTCATCTTCCTCTTCCTCTTCCTCTTCCTACTCTATTCAGTTCTTCTTGGACGCCATAGTCCTCTTCTTCTTCATCATCTTCCTCTTCCTCTTCTTACTTTATTCAGTTCTTCTTGGAAGCCATAGTCCCCTTCTTCTTCATCTTCCTCTTCCTCCTCTTCTTACTCTATTCAGTTCTTTTTGGATGCCATAGTCCTCTTCTTCTTTGTTAGACTTGTGCTCCTAGTAGCCTCCTACCTCCTCCTACCTCCTCCTACCTCTGTTAGAGTTCTGGACCTACCTCCTTGTACCTCCCGCCATAGTCCTCCCTCCTCCCTCCCGCCATAGACCTCCCTCCTGCATCCTGCTATAGTCATCCCTCACACCATAGACTTCCTCCTCCCTCCCACCAGAGTGCCTCCCTCCTCCCTCCTGCCAGATAGTCTCCCTCCCTGCCCGCCATATCCTTGCCCCCCTCCTCCCTCCTCCCTCCTTTGACGTGGTACCCCTCCCTCCTCCTCCCTCCTGCCAGATCGGACAACTCATAATCCACCACGCTCCTGCACCTCTTCCCTCACTCACCCCAAAACACACAGAAACTCATATGCATGAAAATTTTGAAAATTCAAAATGAGGCCGGATATGGGCAGCACTAGAAAAGCACAGCAAGGTGCCGCAGTCAAAAAAAAAAAAAAAAAAAAAAAGCCGTGGATTTTTTGCATGCCCCGGGCGGGGTCCCGAACCAGGCAAGGCGCCCTGGGAAAGCTAGCTATTATAGTATTATCATTTGCATTGGCATATCATACCTGTTTGACCAATGTAAGAGGCAATTTTTCGAACATGGAGTTGATCTGTGCTCCTGCCGTTGTAAGTCACTGAGCCTGAGAGAGTTGCCTGTTTGTTAGAAACAACAAGCCCGCTCAACGCCTGGTGCAATGAGCTCTTTCCTGGAAAACACAGACAGGACAACAGCCACAGAAGGGATAGAAAATCATAGAATCCATATATAATATATATGTCTGTAAGAGAGCACAGGACATAATTCAAATGCCAAAGAAGTTCAATCAACTTCAATATCTTTAAGCATTTTGCCAAGCGAACAAAAGCAAGGATAAAGTTCGATAAACACAAATAATTGTAAATCAGGGCTGGGCCGGCAACCAGCCAGTTGTGCCAGGCCAGTCCAACCAGGGCCAGTCTGTTTGAGGGGATACATCTGGAAAAACTTAAGGCCAAAACTCACCTGATTTTTATTTTTTATTTTTTTTTGGAATGCGGGGTCCGACTGCGCTCAATGAGAGCTGTCGGATTCTGCATTAAAACTTTGAAGGTGGGATTCCTTTTGTGGAGTGCTTTCCCAGTGTTTTGTTTTTTTTTTGG